ATGATCAAGTTTATTTCAATGCATTTCAATTTCGTGTTGTAAGCTTTCTTTAAATTGTGATCAAATCTACTTTTGTCCCGAGACGGACCGAGAAAAGGCGGAAGGTAGTCTAGCGGAGCAGACTACTGCCGCACGGTGTCCCTTTCTGTGCCAAGAAGAAAGACACCTCGTGAAAACTGGTATCAGAGCTGTGGCTCACGTCCTTTGATAAAAAAACTATGGATCTAATTAATTCGAACACCACGGAGGTGGTTGATCCTCAAAAGAGGAGCACGAAATAGCACGTGGATGCGCTTGAAGTAACAACTACTAGGTTGTGCTATATAGTGGAGTGCCTCGAGGAAAAAGTTAAGGTGGCAGAGACAAAAATTCGTGAATTACACATCCAGCTGGATGAAAGCCGAATGGCTTGCACAGCAATGAATGAAGCTGTTGTTATCCTGCCCGATCTGCAGGATGAAATGGAAGCATTGAGAGCTCAATTACTAGTTCTTCAACGTGCGGTTGGCAACAGGCAAGCTCCCGCACGAGAGTATGTTCCTAAGCTCAGAATTCCAGAACCGTGTACCTACGGAGGGGCACGCGATGCAAATGAAGTCGAGAACTTCTTGTTTGATATGGAACAATACTTTCTTGCGGATTCGATTGAAAATGAAGCAAGAAAGGTGACACAACTACCATGTATCTTGGTGAAGATGCAAAACTATGGTGGTGGACAAAGTATGATGATATTCAGGCCAACAGGTCCGAATAGATTCTTGGGATCTCCTCAAAGAGGCGATCAGATCTCAGTTTTCCCAAAAAATGTGGAATATCTGGCACGACGTACATTACGAGAACTGAAACATAAAAACTCCATCAAGGAGCATGTGAAAGTCTTTTCAGAGCATATGCTGAATATTCGAGACATGTCGAAAAAAGATAAGCTATTCACCTTCATGGAATGGTTGAAACTGTGGACACACACGGAACTTCAGAGATAGAAGGTCACTGATTTGAGTGCGGCCATGGGAACTGCTGAATGCTTAAGTGACTATCAGCCCGAGTCGAGAAAAGATCGACCTTCAGGTAATAGTCAAACTATTGGAGGTGGAAATAAACCTTAAAGACCCAGCTCGAACTCAAATGGGGAGAGCGTTACTCTAATAATAAGGGAGGAGCCTATCAAGGCACCCGTTAGAGTAACTTTCAAGGGAATTATCAAAACGGCCGTCAAGGAAACTACAATGGTAGCAACAGTAATAATTGGAATAAAGGAAAAGCAACGGAGGGCCGGTCTGATGCCACTCCTAAATTGATGTGCTTTTTATGTGAATGACTCCATCAGGTGGCTGAGTATCCTCAGAAACGGATGGTGAATGCATACTGTCAACTAGTGAGCAACGGAATGAGTTCAAAGCAAGATGTCCCGCAAGCTAGTTGTCACGATGAGACCGATTCCGAAGAGGATGAAGATGTAGTTAGTGCATTCTCACATTGGTGCAATACACTATCGCATCGGCCTACAAAAAAAAGGAGAATGTTCCCTCGAAAGAGGTAACAACGGAAGAATCAAAGGCTCGTTGTTTTAGGGCGAAAGACCTAATGTACATTGATGTGAAGATCAATGGAAATCCAATTAGGGCTATGATAGATACCAGTGTTATCCACAACTACTTTGCAAGTCCCGAAGTAAAGCGATTCAGACTTGTTTTGGAAAAAGGTAATGGGAAGGTCAAAGCAATCAACTCCGCTGCTCAACCAATAACGAGGGTAGCGAAATCTATGTCAATCATAGCAGGTCCTTTCGAAGGAAGGACAAATTTGTCGGCAGTTCAGATGGATGACTTCAAGCTTATTTTAGGATTGGAAAGTGGGATTATCGTGCTCGCGAAATCACCATATGGAGCTCCCGTGTTGTTTCACAAAAGGCCGATGATTCTCTTAGAATGTGCTGCGACTATCGAGCCTTGAACAAGATCACTGTAAAGAATAGTTATCTTATTCCGCCAGTCGCTGATTGCTTCGATCAACTGAGTCGGGCGGGATACTATACGAAGCAAAAACTATGGTGGTAACCAGATATGGAGCCTTTGAATTTAAGGTGATGCTTTTTGGCTTAACAAACGCTCCATCAACGTTTTGTACTATGATGAATCAGGTACTTTGCGGGTTCTTAGATGATTTTGTGGTAGTGTACCTGGACGACATAGTAATCTACAGTGAGATATTAGAGGAACATGTGCAACATGTGAGGTAGGTTTTCAATTGCCTACGAGAGAATGATCTCTATACCAAACCGTTTAAATGCTCATTTGCTCAAAAGTCTACCAGTTTCTTGGGTCACATCATCGAGCAAGGAAAAATACACATGGATGCGAAGAAGGTTGCAGCCATCAAAGATTGGCAACCATCAAAGAATGTCTACGATGTGTGGTCATTTCTCGCGTTATGTAATTACTACCAGAGATTTGTGAAAGGGCACTCAGAATTACATTGCCACTTACTGAATTGACAAAGAAGGATAAGGATTGAGATTGGTCATCCCAATGCTAAAATGATTTCGAGAAGTTGAAGAGATCGATGTGGACGAACCCAGTTTTAGCCTTGCCGGATATGGATAAACCATTCGAAGTGCATACCGATGCCTTAGACTTTGTACTTGGTGGAGTCCTTATGCAAGAAGGACATCCAGTAGCTTATGAGAGCCGAAAGCTGAATCAAGCAGAACGTCGTTACTCGGCACACGAAAATGAGCTGTTGGCAGTAGTCCATTGCCTTAGGGGATGACGCCACTATTTGCTTGAGTTTGCATTTATTGTGAAGACAGATAACACTGCGGTTAGTCACTTCACGTCCCAACTGAAACTATCAAGCAAACAGGCTCGTTGGCAGAAACTTCTTTCAGAGTTCAATTTTATGCTATAGTACCGTCCCGGATTTAGTAATCATGTTGCCGATGGTCTTAGTCGCCGGGCCCACTTGGCTACCATCTGCTCAATGGCTGCTCTTTCAGAGAGCATAGTTGCCACAAATACAAGGTACCAAATTTGGGCACTTTGGGATAAGGTCTCGACTACTCAATATTTGGTCGACCTCATCAAACAGGGCAAAACTCATCAGTTTTGGCTCTATAGGGCCGTGAAGACTAAAAGAGACCACCTTTATATTCCTAAGGGCGGAGACTTGAGGAAATCATTTGGGCAGGGCATCCTGGAGAGGAATGCACTTTTGTACTACTGCAACGTGCATGCTACTGGCCTCAAATGCGAGACGACATTGCAACTTATGTGAAAACTTGTCTTGTTGTCAGCAAGATAAGGCGGATCATCATAAAAAGGCAGGCTTGCTGAAGCCCCTTTCAATCCCAACTAAACCATTCGAGAGTGTATCGATGGACTACATTGTTGGATTGCCAAAAGTTGGAGATTTTGGCACTATCATCGTCATGGTAGACAATCTATCAAAATACGCAACTTCCATCGCAGCGCCTAAATATGTATTAGCTGAAGAGACAGCTCAACTCTTCTTCAAACATATTGTCAAATACTGGGGATTGCCTAAGGGCATCGCCAGTGATCGGGATCCTCGATTCACTGGCATATTTTGGACCGAGTTGTCCAAACTTCTTGATTTAATTTTGAGTATGAGTTCTAGTTTTCACCCACAATCTAATGGATAGACGGAGCGTTTTAATTTCATATTGGAAGAATATTTTCGGCACTTTATCTCTACTTCACATAAAAATTGGGTGAAACTTTTGGATGTGGCTAAGATGTGTTTCAATGCCCAAAAGAGTTCTTCTACCAATAAGAGTCCTTTTGAGATTGTTATTGGCCAACAACCGTTACTCCCTCATATTCTGGATATCGATCAAAGTACTACTCTCCTCAAGCGAAAAGCTTTTCTCAATAGTGGAAACGAAACATTGAAATTGTTCGGAGTTATCTTGAGAAAGCTCAGAAATGGTACAAAAGTCTGCAGATCAAAAGCGCCGTTTTCTTGAATTTAATGTTGGAGATTTGGTAATGGTTAAACTCCCTGAAAGAAACGATTATAAACCGACAAGAGGGAAAGATTCAAGATTGATGCCAAAATACATCGAACAATTACCCATCGTGAAGAGGATTGGAAGAGTTGCATACATAGCTGCACTCTCTTCATGGTGCAAAATCCAAAAGGTCCTTCATATTGGTGTACTCAAACTATACTTTGCCGACAAGGAGGATGCATGCAGAAATGAGCCAACGCGACCTGTGTTTGAATTGAGAAAAGCCAAAAAGAAGGTTGCAAAAGCTATACTGGACCATCGTACTACTCGAGCTTTCAGAAAATATCATCAAGAGTATTTGGTCAAATGGAGTGAATGCAGCAGCGAGGAGAATACTTGGGAAAGAGAAAAATATCTTGGAACCTTCAAATCATTAATTGAGGAATATAATGCATTGAGGGCACCGAGGACGTCACCAAAACAAATGGAGGAGAATGTCAAGGATCGCAGCTTCAACTAGCCCCTTGACCCAATTGCAGCCGCAGTTTGCCTAACTTCAACCGCACATTGTAAATATTTTATTTCAATTGTAAAATAGTTTTGATATTGGAAAATGTTTAGTATAATTCTTCGACATTTAAACTTCTACTCCTATCACTTAGTTTTTGTTCAGAATGCTATTATTGGGGGTATTAGTCTTTCGAACGATTTTTCAAGCTTTCTAGTGTTCGCCCCTACACTAGCTATTGTAATTTCCTGCTTTCATCAATTGTAATTTCTAGTTTTCAAGCAATCAATGATTAATTGACTTTCAATGCATTTCAATTTCATGTTGCAAGCTTTCTAAAAATTGTCTTTCGTCTCGAACCGACTGAGAGAAGGTGGAATATAGTCTAGCGGAGTAGACTCTTGCCGCACGATGTTCCTTTGTGTGCCAAGAAGAAAGGCACCCTGTGAAACTTTGTCATCATTTGTGATTAATAGAATTTTTGGGATTATCTTAATTTGTAAGATTGCTGCAAGAACAATCTAGAAATGTGTGGTTATTATATGCTACAAATAAATTGAAGTTTGCTCTAGGAATGGGTAATGTTGATTACAAATTTATGATTAACAAATTCTTACACCTTAATCAGAATTTTCTCTTCCTAATTTCAATATGCTTGATGCTTAGCAAGGAGCAAGAAGAGAAAATGCTATTTGGGAGGGAATTCAATGGTGAATTTCAAACTAATTATGTTATGTGTTCAAGTTTTATTCACCGATTTATGTGCATTATTTATTGATTTTAAGTCATGCTTTGAGTCTCTCTTCATGTGCGTCTTGCCAACGACATCTACTTACGCAGAACATTTTGGAAACCGTTCGCCATTTTGATTGTGTGCTCTTCTACCATGAATGCTCGCCTTGGTTTGAATATTTTTCTCAATTAGATTAGCGTGAATTTGCTTGCTATTTCTTGGCATTTATTCGTTGTACAACCGGTAACAAAGAAAAGGCCAAGCCCTCAACTGGGTCAAAGTGGAGACCACGAAAAAAAAGGAAAACAATTATTCCCTCTCCGCGAAATAGTATTTACTTTTTGCAGTCTATAAATGCAGTTCACGGACTAGAGGAACTGTACACTGCTTTCAAATATCTTTCCTTGTAACCATGTGTATAGCATCAATGTGCTTATGTATATTATCTTCAAATCTTCCATGCAATTGTACTTCAGATGTGGTTGCGACACGAAAACAATCTATGTTGGATACAAAATATTTCCATAAAAAGCACAGCAAACTACTGACAATCAGAAGGTGTCTCAAAACAAGATATTCAAGAAAACTGCAGCTAAGCAAGAAGCCATATCACTAAAGCTTGATTACAAGTTGGGATATGACATGCGGAACTACATGCGCTTGACCTCAAAAACAGTTGAAGCTGAACAAAAACGAAACACCACATCTTTCTTTGTTTCTTAGCAACAAAAACAAAGAATAATAATCTAAGCTCTTAGGAACAATAACAAAGATTAATAATCGAAGCAATGATAGTCTTGACAACAAAAAACTGATAATCCATATGAAGTTTTACTCTCCTTGTTTGTTGCCAGTCATGTTTCCTTTTTCAATTTTTTTGAATTTTCACGAGTTCAAATTTCACTATATCCAATTAGAGCGAAAATGAGAGGGAAAAAACTTTGCTCCCATTTTCTTTTGTTTTTTTTCCACTATATCTAATTAGAGCCATGCAACAAGAAGCAAATAAATCCATTCATCCATCAAAGGCCTAGGCCAAAGACCGACCAATAGAAAACAGCTTCCCCAATAGAAAAGGCAAATGGGTGTCTTTTTCCCTGGTTGAGACGAACAAAAGTAAAGGTGTGTTCGTGGTGAAATATCACCTAGCAGATTAATGGGCATCCCCGGCACTCTTTATTTCATGCATGATTTCCGAGCCTCCCTTAGTTCTAGAAACATCATCGTGTATACCATTTATTCAGAAGTTCAAGGAGAAGAACTGCAGCAGAATCCTTGGCTTTCTTGACGCTTGGCATAGGCTCTCCAATACATTCATCAGTCCATCCTCTATCAGAAGTATTAACGCGCACAGCAAATGTAAATCTTTTTGCATGTGCAGGACCACCTTCTTGTACACATCTAAAAGTGAAAAATACTAAATTAATGCAGAGAACATCAAACGACAAGATGACTTCCTTTTATGCATAAATTTTAACTTAAAAAAGGCGAAATCTAACTACCTGTATAGCGGCATTGGCCAATTTCTCCGCAAGCATATATCATTCAAGGTCTGCCTGGTAAAAGTTTGGCTGCCATTCTTCTTCTTTTTCTCATCATCTTCTTCACCTTTCTCCTTGGCTTCGGCTGTCTCCTTCTCTTTCAAAGCAACAAGAGCATTCCTAGCTGCCAGTTTTTGTGCCATTTTCTTCTGGGGATTCTGGGCAATCCCAACCTGGACACCATCAACATATACTTCTACAGTTGCCATATTCCCACTTCGCATGGCCTTGTACTCCAGACCTTCAGCTTGTTGCTGACATCGTTCTTGCAATTCTCGAACAGGGTGCATAGGGAGTGTCTCTGGGGTAACCATAGGATTCAGCAATGGCTGGAAAACCTGGAAATATACAAAAACAAGAGAATTTTCACTTATAGCTTCCCATCCATCCCCAGTAAACTATAAATAACCATCGAAATCACCAAAACACTAATTTTGATACATCACTAACCTTCCATACAACTGCAGTGTTGCATCCACTGTCAAGGAAGATTGCCCCAGCAATTGATTCAACAATATCACCAAGAACTTTGGGAGCTTTGCAATCCCCCAGACCAAAAGAGTTGAATCCAGGTTTTAAAAGTTCATTCTGAACCTCTTTGACAAAATCCCGAATCTGATAATTAAGGAAACCAAAGAGTCTCATTACATGATTTTTACAAAACCAATCAATATAATATAAACAAGCCAATTAATAAACAAAATGTAATATACCTGTTTTTCAAGGGCAGTTGATCCGTGCCGAAGATGTACATGAAGGTTATGTTTAACAGCCACACGTGCAAAGTTCTCATTATTAACAGCAGCAGCTCGCAAGTCAGTCAAGCGTCCCGGAGGCAGTTCTGTGTATGTGAAGAACAAGTACCTTGTGATGAGATGGTCCAAAACAGCATCACCAACAAATTCCAGGCGTTGATAACAAGACACTCCGGAAGAAGGACGTGATGCATGAGTTATAGCTTCCACCAACAAGCCAGGATCATTGAACTTGATGTGCAAGGAACCTTGTAATGCATCAAAGTCAACAGTCCTAAGTATATTTTCGGGGACATTACTGGGCTTAATTGAGAACTCTATCTCTTTCAAATCAAAATCTATCTCAATCCCAATCCATTTCATGAGGTGGTTTGCAGCATTCTTTCCACCTTCAACATAATACACACCTATTAGAGCTTCCACAACATCTGCCAGCGTTTTGCTTGAGAGTACACGATATGAACTTGAGTCACTCTCAAGTTCACCGTCTTCCATTTCATCTTCTTCATATCCATCACCATTGCGGGTCTTCCCTCCTGCACCTTCATGGGGACCAATTTCCTGTTCAAATAATGAGGATCCTGCTTCCTTGGTGTCCTCATCAAAGACAGGTAGCACCCCAGGAGCAGCCCATCTAGATGGAGCAAATCGATCTGCCTGGATGTATGACTGAAGTCCCTTGTTCAATGCATATTGATAGAGTACCATGTTGCTTACCATTTGTTGTCTCATCCGAGTGAGCTGGCCTTCATGTTTCTGCGGATATTTCAGAAAAAGAAATCGACTAACGACCCATTTTAAATAAGCATCTCCTAAAAGTTCTGCTCTTTCATAGCAGAAAGTCTCTTGGCAAGAAGCTGCAGTCAAGGCTTCCAAAATCTGGAAACAAAAAGGTTTTACATAACAGCTACCATAATTTAATAAATTTTCAAAAATACTACACAGGATTTGATAATACCTTGGAGGCAGGAACAGGATAATTAATGACATCCTTAAGTTGTACAGCAAGCAACATGCTTTCTACCCTACGCATAATTGACGGCAATCTTTGAGCACCCCTAACCAGTGATCCAGGAAGTGGATGTACAAAACAGAGTTCAGGAGGGAGAAAAACATAGTATGTTTTCTCAGGTGTGTCCTCAGCTTCACCTTCTTGACCTATAGAGTAGAAACTTCCAATATTAGTCCAAGAGTACAACAAAATGATCTAGCTCACCAAGATAGAGGAAAAAGATGCAAATAACATGCCTTCTGAATGTTCAAACCGTGGTGACAAAAGATTCTTGCAATATGAAACACCACGGGCTCTTATTAGAGGTTGCTGTTTATAGATCAATTCGACACCATACCTACATTTAATTCAGACAGCAAGTCAAATGCACCATTTTTGTTAGTAATGATCTAAAGCTTTCCCAATATTTGATGACTTGTAAACAGTTGCAAGTGAGAAACTCCAAAACATATTAATGGCTTTATAAGCCACCTTATTAACTCTGCAAGACATTTAATACTCCCCACAAGGTTT